CGGCGGCAGAGTTCTTAGTTGAACACTCAGATTCGTCGGACGCTGCTGAGTAAAAATGCTCCTGCTTGCATGGGGGGGCACAGGTACCAGTAGCAAACCGCTTCGCGCAGCTGTCCGGACCCACCTGGGTGCAGTGGGTGCCCTGGAGGTTTCCCAGGGCGGCCCCAGCCAGCTGCACGTATGTGTGTTGCCCATTGCACGTGTGGGAACGCGTGAATGTACATGCGAGGAATAATTTTAGTCGCCCCTAAATCACGAGGCACGAGTGGTTTGGGGGGCAGTGAAATTTGAGGAGTAGGATTCTTGTCCACTCTTAGCCTCTTGGCTTCCTGGCCTCCTAGCTTCGTGCGTTTGGCTCATGGCCGGTAGCTTCCTACGGAGGCTGCGGAGTTGGAGGGGAAGTTCTTGCTCACGCCTGGCCCGTTCAGGGTGCGGTTTCCCTCTCTGCCCGTCTGTCCGTGTCCGTCCGTCCGTGTCCGTCTGTCGTTGGTCACCAGGGGCCTTGTGGACCCTGCGTCAGCACGCGGACGCAGCAGCGCCTGCGGGGTCAGGGGGTGCGCGTGCGCATCGCTTCTCGTGGGGCTGCCGCTGCCGCGGTGCAGGCTGCTCTCGGGTTGGGTTGCTTTCCCCGCCCACCCGCTCCCTCGCGTTCCGCTGGTTGGGTGCCCTGGAGGTTTCCCAGGGCGGCCCCAGCCAGCTGCGCGTATGTGTGTTGCCCATTGCACGTGTGGGAACGCGTGAATGTACATGCGAGGAATAATTTTAGCAGCTTCTGCGCCAAAGCCGGCTTGCCACCACAGCCCTCGAGCAACTCGCCACACTTCTCGACCGTGAGGTTGCTGGCAAGGAGCTGCTTGAGCCCCTGTGCGCCGTCGTCAATGGGCTTCTCAGGGGCCCGTGGCGCGCTGGCCACCAACTGGCCCCGTCGGCCTCCAACTCCGTGATTTCCGTGACTGGCCTGAAGCGCCTTGGCCGCGTTCTCCACAGCCTTCTGCGCTTCTGCCACCACCTGCTTGAACTCCTCGACCACTTCGGTCTGGCGCTCCCGCTTTTTGGCTAACTTCGTGTACCGAAAGGACTGTCCTTGCCCTCGTCGACATCCATGGCGTCGCCGTCGGGCTTTGTTGCTACCTCTTTCTTCCGTAGCTGTGTAGCTTCATCGCGCAGCCTCTTGAGCTCGGCAGTGAGCTTGGGGTCGGGCTGCGCTGGGGCCTTAAGCGCCGACGCAGAGGGAGTGGCTGGCTGTTTGATCCCTGCAGATGCCGACGCCTTGGGCTGCTTGCGTAGCGAGCAGTGATCGAGATCCGCTCTGTTCCACCACTTATCGCCTGTCTGATGCGACCAGCAGTGCTTGCAAAACCATGGCTTGGCCCACGCCTGGCGTCTCTGCTTGTGATCCGAGGGCGGCGCACCGCCTTGAGAAACATGAGAGGGCGCCATGGGCCTTCCGTATTCGCGAGTGCACAAAAAAAAGGGTGCTGTGCACAGGCGGGAAACCCGCGCACAGTACACGGTATGCAGCAGTGCCTCCCGGCCTGGGCAGGCCACTCGGGAGACGCGGGAGCGGTCGGGGGCCGCGCCTCCCCCACGCCAGAATCTCAAATCCTGAGCGAAACATTACGGACTTGAGCCAAAATGGCTACGGAGGAGGAGCAGGAAGATAAGGAAAAGGAGGAGGAGGAGGAGGAGGAGGAGGAGGAGGAGGAGGAAAAGGAGGAGGAGGAGGAGGAGGAGGAGGAGGAGGAGGAGGAGGAGGAGGAGGAGGAGGATAAGGAGAGGAAAAGGAGGAAGAGGAGGAGGAGGAGGAGGAGAGGAGGAGGAGGAGGAGGAGGAGGAGAGGAGGAGGAGGGAGGGAGGAGGAGGAGGAGGAGGAGGAGGAGGAGGAGGAGGAGGAGGGGAGGAGGAGGAGGAGGGAGGAGGAGCAGGAGGAGGAGGAGGACTACGCTACAAGAGCGCGCATGAACACAGTGGGGCGCGAACTCAGGGCTGCCAGCGGCGCGAGCCAGGGCTATGCGCCGTCTTGCGGATACCAACACATTTGGGGACCCCGACCTCCGTCGGCGCCCCCCCGTATGCCACTGCGCCTCCCCCTCGGCAGGGCGGCGTGCCCAGACTGCGCTGGACGCGGCGTGCTGGCCGCACCACCGTGGGGCCCAGGGGCCTGCACGGTGGCCTGGCCCCGCCGCCCCTGCGCCGCCCGCCGTCCGGGGGGCCCTGCGGGCGCGCGCCATTGCACCCGCCGCGCCCTCGGCGCAGGCGGCGGGCGCGCCCGCTCGCGCGCGCGCGCGGCCTGCGCCGGCGGGGCGCACGCCCTTCCCCCCTCCCCACACGGAGCGCTCTGGCCACGCCAGGCAGTGCGCAGAGATTCAAGGGAGGAACAAGCAGCCAGACCCCGGCAATTGGCGTTTCCCAAACGGCCCTGGGCGTTTACTAAACAACCCCACCCTGTTCGATTCCTTCCTCGGGTGCGTTTACTAAACGGCTTCGCCTGTCGGGGTGTTTGTTATCGTGGTGGATTTTCTGTCTTCTAGAGATGCAAAGTTGACGTCGCCATGGACTGCGAACAGGAATTCAGTGGGCCAGGGGGCCAGCCCGCCTTCAGCTGCGCCGCCTGCATTTTTTTGCACCTTGCCACGCTGGGGTGTGCGCCGCCTGCTTTCGGTGGGCCTTGTCGCCGCAGCGAGGGCGGCGGTGCGAGTTCACCTTGGCTGTGGAGCAGGTGCCCTTGCAGCCAGCGATGACGACCCTTGCGTCAAAGTCGGGTTCCCCCGCATGCTGCAGGGTGGTCGCGCTGTCACCTCTGCAGGTGCGCTTCCCGTACAGGTCCGCCGTTTCGCTTTCTGAGCAACGGGCAACCTGACGCGCGTGGGTCAAGCGCGCGCAGCTCATCTGGGCCAGAAGGCTTGGCCTGCAGGCGCCAGCGCAGCCACGCCTCCTGCCGCCGTTTTGTGTCCGAGTCTTGGTAGCGTTGTCCTTACCTTGACCGCGTCCGTCACAGTATAGCGATGCTGCGAGGGCCAGCGGCCGTTCGTCAGCCCGGGTTGCCGGTTAAGCGCTGACAGAGTGCCGTTTTGTCGACGCCTACGAGGGGCGCAGTCACTGGCGCAGGTGTCGACGGAGTTCTTCCGCAGGAGGAGGAGACCGATGAGGAGGAGGGGGAGGATTAGGAGGGCACGGGCTGGTTTCGCCAGGGCTGGTTTCGCCGGGGCTGGTTTCGCCCGACGCTGGTTTCGCCGGCGCTGGTTTCGCCCGACGCTGTTTTCGCCCGCTGGTTTCGTCCCGCTGGTTTCGCCCCGCGGTCCGGTCGGCGAGTCGGGTCGGGCGGACCCTGACGGGCGGGTCGGGTCGGGTCGGGCGGGCGGGACATTAAAGTGTGGTGCATAATCGAGAAAGCACACGAGAATCGAACCCTAACGGTCGGGTCGGGTCGGGTCGGGCGGACCCTAACGAGCGGGTCGGGTCGGGGCGGGACGGGCGGACCCTAACGGGCGGGCCGGGTCGGGCGAGCGGGACATCAAAGTGTGGTGCAGAATCGAGAGAGCACACGAAAACCCCAACGGTCGGGTCGGGTCGGGTCGGGCGGACCCTAACGGGCGGGTCGGGTCGGGTCGGGACGGGCGGACCCTAACGGGCGGGTCGGGTCGGGTCGGTCCAGCGGCCCTAACCCTCTTCCCTCCTCCCTCCGTCCTGCCCTCCCTCAGCCACCTCCTCCACCACCTCCACCTCCACCTACACCTCCTCCTCCCCCACCTCCCCCACCTCCTCTTCCTCCTTTTCCTCGTCCCCCCTTCTCCTCCCCCTCCTCCTCCTCCTCCTTATCCTCCTCCTCCTCCTCCTCCTCCTCCTCCTCCTCCTCCTCCTCCTCCTCCTCCTCCCCCATCATCCTCGTCATTCTCCTCCTCCGCCTCCTCCTCCTCCTCCTCCTCCTCCCTCCTCTTCCTCCTCCTGCACCTCCTCCAGCAGCTGGGCGAAAGCAGCCGGGCGAAAGCAGCCGGGCGAAAGCAGCCGGGCGAAAGCAGCCGAGCGAAACCAGCCCGGGCGAAACCAGCGTCGGGCGAAACCAGCCTGGGTGAAACTAGCGCCAGGCGAAACCAGCGCCAGGCGAAACCAGCTCTGGGCGAAACCAGCTCCGAGCGAAACCAGCGGCTGCCATTAGGAGGAGGATAGAGAAGAGGAGGGAGGAAACGGGGAGGAGGGAAGAGGAAACAACCAATCGTGGAAGCAGAGCCGACGTTCTTCTGTCGCGGCCACACATCAGTGGCCTCGTGGGAGAACAGTAGATACACTGAAGTCGTGTTGCTTTCTAGCACCAGCTAGATGTCTTGTTCCACCCCGCTAGCGCTCCTTCTGGCGCGAGGGTTGCGTTCGTTCGATCGTCCCCCCCTCCCCCCTCTTGCTTCTCTACTCTACCCCTCCCTCTCTCGTTCCCCCTTCCCTCTCCTTTCCTTCCTCCAACGTGTTCAGGTGTTGCCAACGGTGGCCCTGGCCCAAGGTAGGTCCAGACGGCATTCAGAGCACTCCTCTCGAGGCCCAGAGAGCCCTCGGGGCTTCGAAGTCCACAGATTTCTGGAGCTTTGCGGGGCTCTCCGGATTTCTCAGTTCCCCGGAGGTCTCCGAAGGCTCTTCCAAGGCTTTCCGAAGACTCCGAAGGCGCGAGAAGGCCAAAGTTCGGGGCATCTCTGGCCGGGATCACCTCTGGCTCGAGGCTCGGGAGTTCTCTTTTGGAGCACGGCGTGCACAGCAGATGGGGAGCTTAAGACGTGCCTGTGTCCCCACTCCGTGAATCGGCGGCGACGATGGGGGCGAACAGCCCAGGGGCGGGCATCACACGTATTCGCCCGGGAGCCTTTTCGAAAACATAGATCATCGGCGCATTTGGATACATGTATTGCTCTCCCCTGGGCTATTCGCTCCTATCGTCGCCTCTGGGTGAACGAGCCGAGGAAAGAGGCAAGAGCACCACCTTTGACAGCCCCTCGGCATGATGTCGCATCCCGCCCAGGCAGACCGCCCACTGCACGGCGGCCCAGTGCCTGGCCAGTGTAGGCCATGGTCGTGCTGGAGTGCGGCGCCGCCCGCCGCCGTCGCCGCCGTGCGACGGGGGGGGGAGGCTTAAGTCGGGCCCGTCCCTCTACAGGAGGAATATTCAAAAATAGTCAAAAAAATAGGGGATACTTTTTTGAGTATTTTTTGGACCATTCTGGAGTGATTTTCCCCAACCAACCTGTGTTGTTGGGTCCTCGTTTTGAAGAGACGGTGGCCCGCGTCTCCTCCTCTCTTCCTCTCCTCCTCTCCTCCTCCTCCCCCTCCTCCTCCGCACACCAATTTCGGCACACCCCTCACACGTTTCGTGGCCCCATAGGGAGCTTCGCCGAAGGTCCCAGTGGGTGTGCCCGCATGCGTCCCGCACACCCAGTTCGGCACACCCCTCACACGTTTCGTGGCCCCATAGGGAGCTCCACCGAAGGTCACAGTGGGTGTGCCCGCATGCGTCCCGCACACCCATTTCGGCACACCCCTCACACGTTTCGTGGCCCCATAGGGAGCTCCACCGAAGGTCCCAGTGGGTGTGCCCGCATGCGTCCCGCACACCCATTTCGGCACACCCCTCACACGTTTCGTGGCCCCATAGGGAGCTCCACCGAAGGTCCCAGTGGGTGTGCCCGCATGCGTCCCGCACACCCATTTCGGCACACCCCTCACACGTTTCGTGGCCCCATAGGGAGCTCCGCCGAAGGTCCCAGTGGGTGCGTCCCGCACACCCATCACCCCTCACACGTTTCGTGGCCCCATACCGTCCCAGATGCTCGGCACACCCTTCAACACCCCTTCCCGCATGCGTCCCGCACACCCATTCGGCACACCCCTCACACGTTTCGTGGCCCCATAGGGAGCTCCACCGAAGGTCCCAGTGGGTGTGCCCGCATGCGTCCCGCACACCAATTTCGGCACACCCCTCACACGTTTCGTGGCCCCATAGGGAGCTCCACCGAAGGTCCGAGTGGGTGTGCCCGCATTCGTCCCGCACACCCAGTTCGGCACACCCTTCACGCGTTTCGTGGCCCATCGGGAGCTCCACCGAAGGTTCCCGTGGCGCAGTCCGCACGCGTTTCCCCCACCCAGTACACCTCCGTCGGAGGCCGTCGGAGTTCCGCGCCTCCCTCGCCCGTCGTCGCTCTGCCCAGCGGCAAGAGCCTTGCCCGCTATCAGCCACCCAGCTAGCTCTCTTTGCTGCGCGCAGCGGACGACCCGCGCGCGTCGCTGGGACCCCTCCGGGGCGACCTGCGCGCGTCGCTGGGACTCCGCGCTGCGCTGCGCCCGCAGCTTTCGACTTTTGAGTGCGCGGGCAAAGAGGGAGTAACAGAAGGGGAGGAAGCGGGCGCGATCCTCGCGGTGGCGTCGCGGCGCGCGGGCGATGCCGTCGGGGAGTCCCGGGGAAGCTCCTTGCGGCGGCCACGCCCAGCGTCACGAGTATTCAGAGGCAGTCATTCACAAACTATTAGCATTCATATACAATTGTACCATGCATTGGCATACTCGCGTTCATGCACGTAGACTCGTTCGCACGCAGATTCATTCACAGTCAGACGCACTCGCGCTCATATTCACCCGCGCTCAGTCTCCCTACGTACTCAGATCAATCGTTTTCGTTCGCGTTGTGTACCACGCCATTCATTTCGGCACACCACTAGCAAGGTTCGTTGCCCCATAGGGATCACCACCGAAAAAAGGAATCACAATTGCGGTACTCACACTTGCATATGGTTGGGTCCTTCGTCCGGCTATTTGATTTTTTATTGTTTGTCGTCAAAAATCCCCCCGCAGGGGGACACGCCCGACTTGAGGGGAGGCAGAGGCAGGATCGGGATCGTGGCTCGATCCTGTGGTTCTGGGCTCGCGCCCCTCGCGACATCCGCCCCGCTGCGAGCGCCTCCCCAGAGCACCCCGCGGGCCGACGCGGGGTGATGATGCTGCTGGTGATGATGATGATGATGATGCTGATGCAGATGATGCTGATGCTCATGCTGAAAACGATCTGATGATGATGATGACGATGACGATGATGATGATGAGGATGATGATGATGCTGCTGATGATGATGCTGATCATGTTGATGATTATGACGAGTTTGAGGATGATGGTGATGATGGTGATGGTGACGATGATAAGGATGAGGCTGATGCTGATGATGCGCATGAATGGTGAAATTTGGTGGTGATGATGTTGATGACGATGGAGTCTGATGGTAGTTGTGATGCTGATGACGGTTGTAGTGATGATGGTGATGATGGTGAGACTGCGGATAAGGATAAGGATGATAATGAGGATATTGTGGTGGTGATGATGACGACTATGCCGGTGCTGTAGGATGATGACGCAGTGTTTATGTTGATGATGTTGATGATGACACTTGTGATGATGATAATGACGACAACGATTGTGACGATGGTGGTGGTTATGATGATGGTGGCGATGATGATGTTGATAACGATGGCAATGATTTCGACGACGATGATGATAATGTTGTTGCTGTTGATTCGGATGATGCCGATGGTGATGCTGCTGAGGACGAGGATGATGCTGATGATGATGATGATGAAGCCAATCACGTGTGACAATGATGATGCTGATGATGATGAGGATGCTGCTGCTGATGATGATGATGATCATGATGATGCTGATACTGATGGCAATGGTGATGATTACGTCGATGATGCTGCTGCTGATGCGACATTGATAATGATCCTGCTGATCATGCGGTTGATGATGAGGGCCATGGTTGGGATGACGATGCTGCTGATGATGATGCTGACGACGATGGTGTTGATGCTGATGATGGTACTGATGATGATGACGATGCGGGTAGTGATGACGATGGTGGTGGTGGTGATGATGATGCTGATGATGGTGGTGGTGATGATGATAATAGTGACGATGACGACGATGATGATGATGATGTTGATGATGATGATGATGATGGTGGTGGTGGTGATGATGATGCTGATGATGATGCTGATGATTATGATGCTGATGATGATGCTGATGCTGCTGATGATGCTGATGATGCTGATGATGATGACGACGAGGATGATGATGATGATGATGATGATGATGATGATGATGATGATGATGAGGATGATGCTGATGCTGATTCTGATGATGATGCTGATGATGATGATGCTGATGATGATGATGATGATGATGATGATGATGATGATGATGGTGATGATGATGATGATGTTGATGGTGATGATGATGCTTCTGCTGATGATGATGATGCTGATGATGCTGATGATGATGCTGATGATGATGCTGATGATGATGCTGATAGGCATGATTGGTATGCTGAGGATGATGAAGGTGATGAGGATGAGGATCATAATGAATCTGATGCTGATGAGGATGAGGATGAGGAGGCGGCGAAGGAGGAGGAGCAGGGGGAGGGAGAGGGAGGACGAGGAGGAGGAGGAGGAGGAGGAGGATGAGGAGGATAATGAGGACGAGTGCAACGGACGAGTATGGGTAAGAGCAGGGTGAGTAGGGAGAGGAGGAGGAGGAGGCGGTGGAGGAGGAGGAGGAGGAGGAGGCCCAGTGTAAACCCAGGAGTGAGTCATCAACGCTGTTGGGATAAACCCTCCCTCCAAGCTTCCTCTTCACAGGCCCATACAACTTGTCATTTTCACTGAGGGAACTACCTCGTTGGAAGACAACCGTTTGAAGACCCTGAAGCATGCCAACACATTGTTCTCGGGATTCAACGCCACGGATCGACCTGACTGTTTTGACGATCCTGAATCGTGCCAGAACGACACATCTGGGGCTTCAGCACTGCGAATCGACGTAACTGGTGCGCCCTCATAGCCCGGAATTCTTCCCAAACGCAAGTTTTGGTACGATGATCATGGACATTTGTGAAGCTGTTGCTGAAACATCAGCGCGGCGCTAATGCGAGAGCCACATTTTGAAAAGGAACCGCCCTCAATCAGTGAAGCTCTTGCAAACTTTCCCAATCCTCTTGTATTTGATATTCGTTTTTGAATAGAGCACTGTCTGACCCCACCTCCTTCTCCTTCTCCCCTTCCTCCTCCTCCTCCTCGTCTTCCTTCTCCTCCTCCTCCTCCCCACCTGCTCCTCTTCCTCCGCCTCCACCTCATCCTCCATTCTCCTCCTCCTCGTTTTCGTCGTCGTCCTCCCTGCCTCGTGATCTCGCCGTCTACTTGGGGGGAGCGATCTGCGAAACTGTCGCCACCTTCGTGGGCTTCTGAGAGGCCCAGCGGATGTACGTCATACGCGGATCACCACGAGAACTCGCGGTCCCTTGGGCTGCGATCTGCGAATCTGTCGCCACTTTCGTGGGCTTCTGGGAGGCCCAGCGGAGGCACGTCATACGCAGATCACCACGAGACCTTGCCGTCCCTTGGGGGGCTGGCGATCTGCGAATCTGTCGCCACTTTCGTAGGCTACTGGGAGGCCCAGCGGAGGCACGTCATACGCAGATCACCACGAGACCTCGCCGTCCCCTGGGGGGCTGCGATCTGCGAATCTGTCGCCACTTTGAAGGGCTTCTGGGGGGCCCAGCGGAGGTACGTCATACGTGGTTCACCACGAGACCTGACCGTCTCTAGGGGGCAGGGGTCTGCGAAACCGTCGCCATTTTCGTGGGCTTCCGGGAGGCCTAGCGGAGATACGTCCAACGCGGATCACCACGAGACCTCGCGGTCCCCGGGGGGGCTGCGATCTGCGAATTTGTCGCCACTTTCGTGGGCTTGTTGGAGGCCCAGCGGAGGCACGTCATACGCGGATCACCACGAGACCTCGCGGTCCCCGGGGGGGCTGCGATCTGCGAATCTGTCGCCACTTTCGTAGGCTACTGGGAGGCCCAGCGGAGGCACGTCATACGCAGATCACCACGAGACTTTGCCGTCCCCTGGGGGGCCTGCGATCTGCGAAGCCTTCGCCACTTTCGTGGGCTTTTGGGAGGGCCAGCGGAGTGACGCAGCGTGTGAGAGCGCCGCGCAACGAATAGCGCATGGCGCTGTCCGTTGCCCATGCCGCATCCTTTCTTCA